TAGCAATTGTTCAAAACCATTCCACACAATGGGCAGCACGGTGGCGCAACTGGTAGAGCTGCTGCCTCTCAGCGAACAGGTCCCTGGTTCAAACCCCGGTCCAGGTGCCTTCTGGGTGGAGTTTGCATGTTCTCTCCGTGCATGCGTGGGTTTTCTCCGGGTACTCCGGTTTCCTACCACAGACCAAAAACATGCATGTTAGGCTGATTGGTAACTCTAAATTGTCCCTAGGTGTGAATGAGAGAGTGAATGGTTGTTTGTCTCGTTTGTCTCTGTGGCCCTGTGATGGACTTGCGACCTGTCCAGGATGTACCCCGCCCCTCGCACAGTGATTGCTGGACATGGGCACCAGCGATCCCCGTGACCCAAAATGGAATAAACGGGTAAAGAAAATGGATGGATGGATGGATTCCACACAAACACTCTACAAATGATGAATACGTCTTTAAAGTGGACTAAAAATGCAACGTAACACAGACATTCAGATACAAAATAATTTTCCCATGCAAGTCTAATAATCCATTTGGGTCTGGATGGCAGTTTGAAGCTATTTGATGTGAGTTTTAGTTAGCTGCCTGTTCCATTAAGTAACATTCGTTCTGGAAAGTTCTTTCAATTGCTGCACTACATTTGAGAGTTTTCCTTTTGTTGGTACTGGTTGAAGGTGAACTTTGTGAAATCTTTCAAACCAAGGTGAAAGTTTGTGCTTAGTTTCTTGTATTGAAGTACAACAATTCTCAGAAAAAAAGTGGACATTATTAGCAATTCTGTTCTTTTTAGTAATTAAATCTCGAGGTGAATGGGAGAATGCTAAAAAATCTCAACAACAGAGACTCAGCTGGGACAGATGATTTGAACCTAAGCAGCACTGAAAATCAATAGTCTGTAGAATACACACACTTGTTGTAGAAACAATTTATATTAGAATTTTCTATGAAACATTTATGAATAGGAAACTTATAAAGCACAGGTCATTTAGTGACTTGTGATTTTCCTATTGAACTACACACTTGTTTTTTTCCAACACTATCATGTCGGATTTGATTTAAAATAAATTTTTGTCTGGCTTTAATGATGAACTGTTAGATTTAAGGACCATAACAATATTGAAAACCTTTTTTTTGCATGATTGTAGTGAAATTATATTAACCATGTGCTAATTCTGGTTACCTTTCAATTACACACATTGGTAAAGTTATAGTTTCTAAACCGCATTTGTCTCCATTTCATTTGGTATAGCATGTAGAAACAGTTTGTCTTGCAAACCAGTATAGTAGTTTTAATTTTATAACATGTATTATTTTAAAGCTGATTCTTTCCAATACATTTTTTTACACAATATTTAACACCTATTGTAGATTCAGAGCAGTAGTAAAGATGGTACAGCCTCAGTGGAGATTTTCTTCTGTAAATTTTCTAAACAAAATGTCAAAACTTGGGAAAGGCAGACCATGAAATACTTGCTCTACATGCTCTGATGGTGCTTTTACATGTTTGTGATGACAGAGAAAAGACAGACACTGTGCAGTGTGCTGACAGCTTAAAACGGTCTGTCTGTCCATCTTTCAGTATCAACCACAGTTTTTTCCATCACGTGCTGTGATCACTTCATGTGGACGAGGCTGTTGGGAATCAGAACACTCCATCTTCAAAGAGGATAATTCAAGCTCAAATCATTGTTATGATGTTAATTTTTTTTTAGAGCTACTCAAGGAATATTTTGTTGCTTTGAGAATAAGTGTTAAAGCCACTTGTAAAGTCTTGTCTCGCTCTTACAAATATTTAATCCCTGACATCAGCAAAGTGATCTTGTGGTGACTACCTGAATTTAATGTAAAAAAGTATAATCTTTTTAAACGTTTACATGCAATTTGTCTATTTTTGTGTCGTGTCTGTGCAACTGTGGTGCAGCTGATTTAGGACTGGAAAATTGTAGGTTTGACTCCCTGACTCGTCCATATGTTGTGGTGCCTTTGAGCAAGTTATTATTCCCTAACTGCTGCATGGGCGCTTACATACCCGCTTGCTGTTCCATTTGGCTGTATCTCATGAGTAATGGGTTAAATGCAGAGCACCAATTTTGTCGATGTTTGGGAAATGATAATGATGCATAGCACTTCCATTATGTTTGTTGCCCACATAAGTTGCTTTTTATTTGCTGTGCAGGCAGATTTATAGAGATATTTTACAGCATTGTTCATAATAACAGGCACAGAATCAGAACATTTCTAAAATTTTACAAAATAAAATACCAGAGGTATGGAAGCTTGTGACATCTGGGCCATACCTTAGATACTGATCCTGGGTTCTGTTGGAGCAACTCTTATAATTTTCAAGCTTCTTATGCTCCTTCTTCCTGATGCTACAGTTGTTTGAGATTGTTACATCAATAAACGCTAGATTATTGTGGGGTTTGTCAACCACCACAATGTCGGGTTGGTTAGCCGTCACCTATTAGTCAATCTGGATCTAAAAAATCGACAACATCTTAGCTAGGTCATTTTCCACCACTTTTGGTGAAGTCTCACTTTGACCACCAGACCTCCGTTCTGTACTCAACAAAGACTTTCCGGTATACAGTTTCAGTCACTTGGTTAAGGCATTCCATGTATGCCTTTTGACTGCTGCATCTTATATCATGCAGTGTTCAATACAGTCTCTAAAGGCTCCCACATACTCTGGTGTACTGTGTGTACTCTGTGGGATGTGTGGACACTGCGTGCACTGTCTGCAAATGTTTGGAACTTCATACTCGAGCGTACACCCTGATGGGCTGCAGACCAGCTCCGCAGACAAAGGGTGTTTATTTTGAGGACAAATTAAGGTTGTCAATTGGTCATTTGCTTACATGCCTTCTGGATTGACTGACAGGTCGCAAAAAAAAAAAAAGAGAGAGAGCTGCCGGCAGCCCTGGGTAGAGGCAGCTGGCAGCCCAGGAGCAGTGGCAGCAGTGTTCTGTGTTTACATGTTGTTAATAAAAAGTTATTAAAAAAAAAAAAAAAAGCAGGGAGCGTTGGCCCTGCAGCCCATACAGTACATCGGACCGGCCCACAGGAAAATCTCCAGACCCTCCCAATTAGCCACACTGGGCCTTATTATAATTCTTTTATGACAAATTCCTTCATTTCTCACAATTTCAGTCATGGTGTCAATGGACGAGGAGGAAGAGATCGCTTGCCTCTTGGGGAAAAAAGCAAAAGTAAAGGCCATTAAACCAGACCAGGGAGGAAGAAGGGGAGTTTAATACATTGGTGTCATATACAAAACATTCTGTCGCCGGACAGTATATTGTGCGACACAGAGTAAGCACACGTGGTCGTAAAAATAGAGTTTTGCGCTGACATGGCTTGCAGACGTCAGCCTCAAGTCCCCATTGAGTTTGCCTTGGGTAAATGTGGACCTCCTGAGGAGTGAAGTACACCCAACTATGTGGCAGCCTTTAAGGTATTCTTGCACGTGTAAAGTAAGTTTCTGGGAGTTCAACAGCAGGCTGGCTTTAAATGCATCAATGAGGGCTATTTATAAGACAGATCTGGGTTGGCAGGCCTCAGACTGACCAAGTTTTACAGATCAAAGACGAAACATTTCTCGCAAAAAGAAACTGTCCAGATGAACTTTTTTTGTATTCAAGTATTGGAAGACACATGGAATGTGAAAATATATCAAGAGCAGGCTGTGCTCATAACTGAGTGATGGTTCAAGAACAACAAAAAGGAGAAAGTCTACCAAGACACCAGTGGCCACTCTGAAGAGTTTCAAGTTTTTGTAGATGAGATGGGAGAGCCTGTGCATACAACTGTTTCGTGGGTTCTTCACCACTCTAAACTGTATGGGAGAATAGCTGAGTGAAAGCCACTGTTGAAGAAAACTCTGAATAAATCTAAACTACAGGTTGTGCAAAACCATGGTCAGATGCTTTTCAACAGTTGGCCATGGTTGACCCTGCCCAGAGACCTTCACTTAGGAGTTAATATTGTGGACTTTCTTCCTGATGTATGATAGTAGCTTAGTTGTTTCATCCTGCATAGTGATTCTGACACCTAAGTCTTCTGCCTGCCTCATTTTGCTTAACGTCTCAAGGTGCTGGTCTTGTGGTGAAATCCTCTAGACTTTGTTTGGAGCTTTTGTATCTTTAAATTGGTAACTTCTATGCCATTCTTTGACCACATTATTATAACCTTGGGGTATTTGTAGGCTTGCAGATAAACATACTAAAGTGCTTCTGGGTGATTACTAATGTTGCCTGAAAATCTCCACTTTATTTTGAAAATATTGTTGGGATAATGTAAAAAGAGACCATTTAGTAATTAAATATGTTAAAATAATTCAAACTGATTTGTGTGCTTGTTCTTTGTGGGAGATGAGCTTGTGATTGTTACGGAATTTGATATAAAAATTGTTTTATTTGTAATGGCCATTGCATTAGTGCCCTTCTTATAAGTGGCATTATTTATTCCCTTTCCATTATCTGTAAAAATAAAATAAAATAAAAAGCAGAGTGTTTGTTTGGGGGAAAATATTTCATGAATTTTTTTTTGCTTGTCTTGATCTTTTGATCTGATTCTAATATTTTTGCTGCAAACATCATGTGCCCACAACACTGAACAGTGAGGGAGTGAATAAACACCATGTATTTGCTCATTTTCTGTAGACATCGGCAATGACATGAGAGGAAAAATTTGCATGGTTTAAATAATAAATGCTTTCTAATGCCTGACGGCATAGATGCATTTAATAGCTTAAATGTGTTAAAATATGTAAATAACAACAAATGTTCTAAAACACTTGGTTGTTTAAATTTGAATGCAGTTCAGTCAATGAGCCAAGGTTGTTAACTCTGAATGGATAATGTGGGACATCATCATGACCTGTTTTATTACTAATCATTACTGCTACAACAATCTGGTCATCCTTTTTTAAGACAGGAATATCAACTTAAATATTAAAGTAATTTTGCTTTAATAAGTAATATAGTGTCTTTTGCTTTTGTCTTCCAACAGCTGCACTCTGATGTGGACAAAGGAGATGGCAAGGTGAAGTATGTATTAACTGGAGAGGGCGCCACATCCATCTTTACCATTGATGAAAACACCGGAGACATTCATGCCACGAAGCGCCTGGATCGGGAGGCTCAGGCTTATTACACCCTCCAAGCTCAAGCTTTAGACCGACTAACCAACTTACCGGTGGAGCCGAGGTCTGAGTTTGTGGTCAAAGTGCAGGACATCAATGATAATGAACCCAAGTTTCTTGACGGGCCGTACATGGCAGGCGTACCAGAGATGTCACCTTTAGGTAAGCTTCCTTGCTTCTCTTAAACATGATCTCTTTTTTTTTCCCAATGATTTCTTTCCAACTCCTGTCTCACTTTCTCTTTGATTTGCCCTCCCTCTAATATCCCCATTTGATAATTTTCCACCTCACTGAATTCCTCTTTCTGTCTCTAGGTCATCAGGTGGTTTGAGACGTGTGCTGTGTTATTATGAGTCCTGCATGTTCACTTTGTTAGAATGAATATGTGCTTATCACTCAGGTCCAGTTTAAACCATTTGGAAGTTCTACTTGTTCATTGTACAGTTCTAGGTTAAGGTTATAACAACTTTACAGATTTTTTTTTTACTGCAGTGGCCAAAAGCACCTTATATTTTCAAAAATGGATATTTTAGTAAAAAACATTAACTGTGGCACTAGCTTCTTCAATCTTTTTTTGTTTGTTGTTGTTCCTATTCATATCTTGCACTGGCTTTGTAGCAATGTTTGCAGTTTTATTGGAAAATAGAAAACTACCAGTTTGAAGCTCCCATGATCCCTTTGCTTTGAAACTAAGGCAATGAGTTATGAGACTTTTTTGGTGATCTATTTATTGGCATTTTTTACCAATTCCAGCTACTAAAGAGATAAATCTTGTGAAGTATGTTATTTAGTTTCAATATCAGTCATGCAAGAAAAGAAGATTTACCCTGAGCCATAAATTGCCACCATAATCAACATTCCTCCAGCAACGAGTAATATACTGAGAGTGATGCTTGGCTAACTGTGGGAATGAACTTATTTTCCTGTTATTTCTTTAATGTAAAAAAATACTTATACTGCTCATATTATCATTAAGCTCATGTTTAGATTCTTGCAAATGTTGTGAGCTGTTTCTCCATGCAGTGCCAGTTTCACATGTTATATGAAACTGCACTGCACCATTAAGACTGACTGCCTAATTCATGTTTGACATAGCTGTGAATATGTTTAGATCTGTTTAGATCTTGTTCACTTTATGGATTGGGGTTAATCTGAATCATTCACTAAAGTAACCCAGTTCACTTGACTTATTTTTTTTAATTCAACGTTTATTCATACAGGTTAGTCTCATGGAGCCTTGAGGACTAGTTTACAAGACGGACCTTTTATCTGGTACCCGTTACATTTGCACTTATGTACAGAAGGGTTGACTAATTTCCTGTAGAAGTTAGCTATACATCAAAACTGTGGCTATACGTAATGACTTAGATCGTATGTAGTGACAAACATTGTTGGGACCCTACTGTGACTTGTCAAGCATGCAAACCTCTTCTTCTACTAAGCGCACATTCCCCATATATAACAAAACCTACACTCCTTCCCTTTGCCTTTTCTACTTTTTCTCAGTGGGAAAGCAAAGAAGGTGTGTGTGTCCACATCTGAGGAGAAAACATGAAGAAATCACAAGAAAGGGTGGTTCTCAGTTGTCTGCAACTTTGTTCTTTCTCATTTTGTTTGAAAGAACCATTCAGAAGATTCAGATAGTTCATGAATATCTTTGTGCAACAAAATAGTTCCTGATAGAAAAAAAATCCACTACTATAAAAAGGACAGTGTTCGTAGGTAGCTCTAGTATGTTCATAATGTCTCACTCTGGCTAAATGGCGGCTTTTTTATCTTTATTGAGTACGCCAAACAAGCGTGCCCACAATTATGGAAGTATACAGTTTGAGAAAAACCAAATGGTGCCAGTTTCATTTAGAACTTTCATCATATTCATCATTCCATTTTTATCAGTTTATCCCATAATCAGTTTGAGTTAAGCTGTGGTTAAACATTTTGTTGATTAAAAAAAAAGTCATGTTTTGCTAAAACAAAATGTTATTTTTTTCCCCTATTTTCTGTTAAAATGGGAAAATATAGACACTAATTTGGATTTACAGGTTCTCTCAATTATTATGTAGCCAATGTCATACAAATCAATTAGCCAAGATTTGGTGAGAAATGAAGCACAAATGTAGGATTTTTTTTTTTTTTTTAATGTACTGGAAACCACCTCATACGCAGAGCAAGGTACCTGGTGCTTGGCAAAAAGGCTGAATGGCAGCCTGCCAGATGGACAGATTCCTGTAAAATACATGAGGAAATGATGAAGGAAGTGATAATCTTGGCAGTGGTGCAGCACCCTAAGCCGTATACTACACACATTAATTTTACTGGGATATATGTATACCGTCAAGTAAATGAGTGTGATAAGTGTAATGTGGCCGCAGCAAGGCTAAGGAAAGCTGCAAAAACAGACTATCTCATCTATAGACATAAACCTCCACTTTCTCGTGAATTCTTTTAAGTTGGTTGTTTGCAGTCCATATATCAAAGGATACAAAGGAGCAAATAACATGTACAGAATATGCGCTTGGACTAAAAACACATTTTCATTCAGTTTTAGTCTGCAGTTTCACTGTAAGCTACATTGAAAGCATTTAGTGAATGAACATTTGTTGTATTTTCTATATGGATTGATTACAGCTGCGCTACATAACATCATGTAATATTTCAGACATTTAGACACTGTTCCTTTTAACATTGCCCTGTCCAAATGTTTGTCATTGCTGCCACCAAATTCAAAACTACCTTCTTTTTTTTTTTCTTCTAAAAATGGAGCAGTATGTTTTTAGTTCATTGATGTAATTATTAGGTTCCATGGTGAGTAAAATATTCATTTACAAAATTAACACATCCTTGATTCTGTTTTAATTACATTTTGCCAACTTTGTCAGAATAGTGGTTGTAATGAAATTAAGCAAGTATTTATTCTATTAATCAGGATAATAATGGTAATATTAGTAGTTCTTATATATTATCTATCTATCTATCTATCTATCTATCTATCTATCTATCTATCTATCTATCTATCTATCTATCTATCTATCTATCTATCTATCTATCTATCTATCTATCTATCTATCTATCTATCTATCTATCTATCTATCTATCTATCTATCTATCTATCTATCTATCTATCTATCTATCTATCTATCTATCTATCTATCTATCTATCTA